TATTTCTCCACTGAGGAATCCTCGATAAGCTCTCAACTAACCCAGTGTTGCTCATCTAAAGAAAGAGCTCAAACTGTAGCATCATGAAAAAAATATTACAGTGACATCTTTATGTCCCAAAGACAGTCACAACAAAAAACTGCATCATTTACTTCAGAGGCCCTTTGGTAAATAAAACTAAAAGTGTTACGGTGAAATGGCAGAAGGAAAAAAACCATGAAAATTAAAATTGTGTTGATCCTTCTCCAGCTATGGTGATATATGCTTGTCTTTTACACATTGTTTTCTCTTTGATTCTAGGGTTCTACCAATTGTAACACAGAACTCTATCTTAATGCTCTTGAGAAAAACAACAGATATATAAATTTTTATCCATTACAAAATGTATCCTTTCAGAAATTAGAGTGGATACGGTAGGGTCAGAAATAGATCTCTGAATTAAAGAATATGACATTGAAACATCCATTAATTAACCCATCTGGAATGAGAAATAAAAGTTATCTGTCTAAAGTTATTGACAAAGCACTAAGTATCTCTGGGAGATGAAACAAAGTATACTTTGGAGGTACTTTTGCTTATGCTGATGCCCTGTAGCAAGTGAGAGGCAATAAAAATATCTAAACTGGACAATAAAAAGGGGGACTTTTGAAAAGGGTTGTTGATATGCAGGCTCTAGTTTGAAATGCAATCTTTTCAAGGTCTTCAATTTTTACAATTCATAAGCTAAAGATGAAAAAACTGGCAACTAAAAGTTATTCATCCAAGTAAATAATATCTGATAGTTCTAGTATATTTCTAAACTTGTTGAGAAATCATTTGATAAACAGGAGCAATAAATCTAAAATTAGGAATATTTTATTAAAATTCTAGTTGTTTATTTCTCATCAATAAACTACTCATGAGATCTAAAGCCAAACCATTTGTAAAATTTTTACAGATCTCTCTCACACACAGATTAAAGTACTGTAAAATAACTTAAACCTAGTTTTGTTTCTAAAAAGTGTTATTTAGATAAATAGTACTAAGATGACATTTTATCAAGGTGACATTTCAGCTTTACTATGCAATCAACCATTGTCTCTACTACTGAAAAACATCTTGAATAATATCTGAAATATATGTGCTATTTTTAAAAATATTTAATGTCTCAATAACTTAACATAATTTAAAAAGCATTAGTGAATATATTTCAAACTCAATAAATGGATACAAAATATCCAAACAGTAACGTGTGAGGGTCTAGAAAAATTTGATTTTGTTTTTGAAGAGCTCTCCTTATTTGAAGAGGCAGCAGTCACTTATTAAAGATTAAATCCTCTACCTCTGACTAAAGAGGGCATTTCTGTACAGCAGAGGCCTAAAATCCAACCAATGATTTAACATTCCTCTAGCAGTGAGAAGTATTTATTAGAAAGCATCACACATCTAGTGAGTGGAAGCTACCATTCTAACTCATTAAATTCCCCCCGACTGCTGGCCCTTTTTTGAAGAGGATAAAGTTTCTGTAGATGTTTACTATTTAGTATTTTCATAGAAAGCTTGCAAGTACCAAATATGTTATGAAGAACAAGCATTTAGTAATTTTATAATTTTCAATATTAAATCCCTCTAAATTCAAATATGGTTAGTTATATTTAAAATCAAAATATAGTTCTTAAACTATCAATCCTGAATTTCATTTTCAAAACACAATTATGAAATCCAAACTACTGCTATGCTTAGTTAACAAAAAGTTTAAATGACAAAATAACACAATCTCTAATTTTAAAAGAATTTGTTAAAATGCCTCTTTTGGATTATTAAAAGCAAATTAAAGCTAGTACATATTAAATAAATTATTATATTAAATAACTATTAAGAACATAATTAGAAGTCTAGAGAAATAATTTTCATACCTAACTCCATTAAGCATAATATCTTAAAATAAGATGCCACAACAGTCTTATTATTACTCGGATTCAAATACAGACACCTCACCAACTCCTAATTTTCTTGACTTCTTTCCAACATAATTTCTCTCGGTTTTAAATACCTTAAAATAAATATTCACAATATTTACTTGAAAAGTTTTACTTCAGATCTTACAGTCTCCAATACAGTACACACCAGCTAAACTAAAGGAAGCCTTTTAAATTGTTTCATTTTTATTGCTTTACTCAAAAGACATTTTTGGCTTTTGCAGTACCCAAGAGGCTTAATTATAAATGCCTAAGATCACTCTATAGGACTGCAAATGAAATCTAGTTATTTGAATATTTGAATTTTGGGGTGCTCAGTTTCTACAAAGAAACTGAACTGTACTTTTAGATCCACCTAGACAATTGCTTCCTTTAGTATTCTGCTGTGACAAGATGCTTCCAATTAAGATCTAGATTCAGAGAAACTTTAATACACTTATCAAAAGTCAACGGCTGAATTTCACACTCCTGAAGAAATAAGGGCCTAAATCACACCTGAAAATGGATGTGCCCATCTGTAATAACAAAGGATCCATTTATAAAAAGGTAGTTTTAAAATTATTACTACATAACTGTACTAATTGAGCTATTTAGGGCATTAATTTGTTACTTATTAGACATACAAAAGTTCTTAGAATATCAATTCATTCAAAGAAACTGGATGTAACAGCATTTAAGATCGATTTTTACAGGCATTCTTAAACTCGTCTTTTCCTTTATGTGGATTCAAAGGACCATAATAGAAATCAAACAGTAACATGTGAATACTTAATAATCATTCCTGTATTATCCACATACCTGCATAAAATACCCAGTAACCAAAGCTTTTCTTATATTAATATAATAGTCCCTGCTTGTAAAGTCAGTACTTCGACGAGGCAAATTAAATCTGTCCATAATTCGAGATAGCTGCTGGCGTACATTGTCTGCAGACATCAGGGACCTGTAGTTAATGAAGTTGTCATAACACCACTGAACCGATTCATGATCTAAAAAGTTAGAGGGGGTTGGAGAAAAGGAGAACCATGAATCATCCACATAGGAGTATTTTCTAATTAGAAAGGAAATTGTTACAAAGAATAAGCTAAATAAACACAAAGCAGATTTACAGACATTTTCTTTAAATTAACTGCAATGTTACTGACTTTCCTAAAAATCCCATAGTGTGGTTCAAAATCAGAAACAGTAACTAAGATTTTTGGTTTTGGATGTCAAAACAATGACTTTAACTGTTTTTAGTGTATTGAGTTATTTTATCCATTAACATCCACCTGCTTGTTTCCAACAGATCATCTATCAGACAGGGGTGACTGGGGGAATTTGGTAAAATGCCGTATCTTGCTCATTTACAAAGAAAACACAGCCTTAGATTAAGATGATCAAATACAACGTGAAAGTTATGAAATCGAACATCAAACAACTATTGTATATTGCTATTTTAGTACATTGTTCTTTATGCCTGAGCTACAGTGCCCCAAACCTCAAGAGGCTGAAATTTTATTGTGACACATGTGCCTCTCAGCAATTTACAAGGTTTGAAATACAAATGATAAAGTTTACAAGGATGTCTGAAATATTCACTCATGTTTAATAAAAAAGACCTATGTCTAAGGACTTCAAGTAATTTCATTACATGTATTATCAAAAGGGTAATATTTCTCCACTGAGGAATCCTCGATAAGCTCTCAACTAACCCAGTGTTGCTCATCTAAAGAAAGAGCTCAAACTGTAGCATCATGAAAAAAATATTACAGTGACATCTTTATGTCCCAAAGACAGTCACAACAAAAAACTGCATCATTTACTTCAGAGGCCCTTTGGTAAATAAAACTAAAAGTGTTACGGTGAAATGGCAGAAGGAAAAAAACCATGAAAATTAAAATTGTGTTGATCCTTCTCCAGCTATGGTGATATATGCTTGTCTTTTATACACTGTTTTCTCTTTGATTCTAGGGTTCTACCAATTGTAACACAGAACTCTATCTTAATGCTCTTGAGAAAAACAACAGATATATAAATTTTTATCCATTACAAAATGTATCCTTTCAGAAATTAGAGTGGATACGGTAGGGTCAGAAATAGATCTCTGAATTAAAGAATATGACATTGAAACATCCATTAATTAACCCATCTGGAATGAGAAATAAAAGTTATCTGTCTAAAGTTATTGACAAAGCACTAAGTATCTCTGGGAGATGAAACAAAGTATACTTTGGAGGTACTTTTGCTTATGCTGATGCCCTGTAGCAAGTGAGAGGCAATAAAAATATCTAAACTGGACAATAAAAAGGGGGACTTTTGAAAAGGGTTGTTGATATGCAGGCTCTAGTTTGAAATGCAATCTTTTCAAGGTCTTCAATTTTTACAATTCATAAGCTAAAGATGAAAAAACTGGCAACTAAAAGTTATTCATCCAAGTAAATAATATCTGATAGTTCTAGTATATTTCTAAACTTGTTGAGAAATCATTTGATAAACAGGAGCAATAAATCTAAAATTAGGAATATTTTATTAAAATTCTAGTTGTTTATTTCTCATCAATAAACTACTCATGAGATCTAAAGCCAAACCATTTGTAAAATTTTTACAGATCTCTCTCACACACAGATTAAAGTACTGTAAAATAACTTAAACCTAGTTTTGTTTCTAAAAAGTGTTATTTAGATAAATAGTACTAAGATGACATTTTATCAAGGTGACATTTCAGCTTTACTATGCAATCAACCATTGTCTCTACTACTGAAAAACATCTTGAATAATATCTGAAATATATGTGCTATTTTTAAAAATATTTAATGTCTCAATAACTTAACATAATTTAAAAAGCATTAGTGAATATATTTCAAACTCAATAAATGGATACAAAATATCCAAACAGTAACGTGTGAGGGTCTAGAAAAATTTGATTTTGTTTTTGAAGAGCTCTCCTTATTTGAAGAGGCAGCAGTCACTTATTAAAGATTAAATCCTCTACCTCTGACTAAAGAGGGCATTTCTGTACAGCAGAGGCCTAAAATCCAACCAATGATTTAACATTCCTCTAGCAGTGAGAAGTATTTATTAGAAAGCATCACACATCTAGTGAGTGGAAGCTACCATTCTAACTCATTAAATTCCCCCCGACTGCTGGCCCTTTTTTGAAGAGGATAAAGTTTCTGTAGATGTTTACTATTTAGTATTTTCATAGAAAGCTTGCAAGTACCAAATATGTTATGAAGAACAAGCATTTAGTAATTTTATAATTTTCAATATTAAATCCCTCTAAATTCAAATATGGTTAGTTATATTTAAAATCAAAATATAGTTCTTAAACTATCAATCCTGAATTTCATTTTCAAAACACAATTATGAAATCCAAACTACTGCTATGCTTAGTTAACAAAAAGTTTAAATGACAAAATAACACAATCTCTAATTTTAAAAGAATTTGTTAAAATGCCTTATGAAAATAATAGGGTAGGTGTATCTATAAAACCATGCTGCTCCTTCAAAAATCTTTTAATTATCACTTAAACATTATCATTGTAATAATATCAAAGGAGATTTTGAGAACCATGGTGAATTGTGAACCTGCTCATTCTCAAGGCATTCCCTCTTACAGCAGCTATCATGGTCTGTTAATAGGTTATATTAATACATCTCTTGGTCACTCAGCATGACATCTGGCAGACAACAGGAACATAGTCTTGAGTTGACCTATCTTACCAGGGATAAGTCTTTAACTTTATGTATTACCAATATTATGGACACAAGAGGAATAAAATAAAATGTTCTGAAGTAAATCATGTACTGGCCTTCAGCTCTTGGTTTCTCAACCACGTTTCTTTTACTGCCCTTATCTGCCCCCACTTTTTGAGACCTGGGCAGAGAAGGGCTCACCTTTTCTCTCCTGGATAGCCATTAATACTATTTGACTCACACCAGGGTTCATGAGTAAGAAACAGAGATGTATGGCACCACAGGTGCTACATTCTTTTCCACATGCTGGCCCTCTAGAATTGGGACACTTAGACAAATAAATTTTACCACCACCCCCTAAGAGATGTGCCAAAGTCAACAGGCTCCACTTTAGCAGTGTAAATAGGATTTTTATAAGATAATAAAAATGAGTTGCAAATAAAACAAGTACAAAATTGAAATTAAGGAACTACTCATGAGAAGAAACCATAAACTTAGAGTGACTAAGAATCCCTCATTTTTGGCACAAGGCGATGATACAGGGCTATCAGTCTTTAATTATGTTATCATCTTTAGGTCAGCCTACTGATATGCAGAAATCAAACCTTTTCAGATCCTGTTGCATTCATTTCTGTATTTATTCTCCCCTTTTGAAGTTTTCCTCTCACTTAAGTTTTGGAAATGGTACATTCCAACAACAGCTAGCAATAACTTTATTATGACTATGATTCCTTCCTCATTTTCAAATAATTGGCAAACAGCTTTCAAGTCACTAAATATTTGCTAATATAATTTAAAGCTAGAACAATATTGTATCATGTGTCTACAGCATAACTTACTGAGCCATCTTTCTATTAGTGAGCATTTGGGTAGCTTCCAATTTTTGTACTATCACAATTAATTCTGGGATGAAAAACTTTAATCCTACATCCAACAGAATTCCAAAAGACAGCTTTCTAGATTATTTCTGGGTCAAAGAGTATGAAGTTGTTATGGTTCTTGGTAACATAAAATCTGCTTTTCATAAAGACCCACATCACTTTATATTCCTACCTCCGCTGTATGATTGTTCCAGTAACCCCACTCCCACACAATTAAGGAATATTTTTCTCTAATCTTGTCAATTTTATAAGTGAGAAAATGGTATCTCAACAATAATGCAACTCTTGGGCTAACAGCAGAGTTTAACTTTTCTCTCATGATTACAGACCACTTGTAGCCTGAGAACTGTCACATTTGTTGCCCATTTTTCTATTTTGCTAATGTTAATATTAAAAGCTCCTTATTAGTAAAAATGTTAAGAGTAATGATTACATAAACAATACTAATCTAGTCACAAAAAAATGTAAAGTGTATGAAAATAGAAGAGTAGACGTATATAAAAATTTGTATGGTTCATGGCAGATTATATACAAATCTTTCATTTTTTATCACCTTATATTTTTCAGGTTTTCTATAACTGGTGCTCCCCCCATTATAAATGCAAACAACTTTTGAAAAGGATTGGCAATTTCTATTTTAAATGCTAGTCAGTAGTTTTTCTAAAGTACTTCTGAGTTTTTAATGTAAAGTTGTCACAGATAATAAATGAAAGTGAGATGAAGAAACATTTTATACACTGCAAGTGACATTTAGACAAAAGAGTTCCTTCAATCTAATTTACACTTACTTTGTTTAAAAGCATGGTAGACATTCAGCAGTGTCAGATGATCTCCATCTATGTGGGCAAATCTCATCTTGGCCTCATCTGCGGCTTTCTTGGCCTCCGTGGGGCGAACAAAACACTGTGGGACTAAACAAGGTTGGTATGGGCCCAACACAAACGCCCATATCGATGAGTCACGCATTCACAGATAGAGGAACAAGGCCTAGCTAGGTCAGTTCACAGAGCATAGGGCAGGGCAGGATGGCCTCCAACTGCATCTTGGACTGTTTACTACCTTGATTAGGTACATCAACACCTAACCACATCTGTAAGACAAGAGGGTTTCAAAGCTACAGAGTACCTGATTATTTTAACTGGATCTAAAAGTAGGCATCAAAACAGCTATTCTGAAGGCCATCGAGATACTAGAAAGCTCAACTTATTTTAAAAAACCAGTGCTGATAGCTCTACCAGTAACTAGAATTATGGTGTCAACAGCCTTTGTGCTAACTGTAATTTTCCAAAAGGCCATCCAGTGAATCCACTGAATGGCTGTGAAAATTAGGAAGCTGTACTTACCCACTACAGAACTAAAATGAACTTTGCAACCAGTCTACTGCCACATTTCTGTCAGAATTTCTTCCCTAATACTATGGTTATTACCAACTGGTGGGTATCACTATTAGCACCGGTGAGCAGAAGCATATGTAAACATAAAAATATCAAGTCTTGGGTTTTGATGATAGCAGTAGTGGTGGAAGGTTAAACCGCCTTTTAATCACGAAAATTCAAAAAGGCTGTGATATTCAGCCTAGTGATCCAACATTTTAATAAAATCAGTAAATAAAGTCCTAAGTTAAAAAAAAAAAAACTTACGTGAATCAAAACCTCAATATAAAAAGCAAATGCCAGTATTTTAAAAGTTGACAATTAGTCTGAAACAATCATTTCAAGGGTCATCAAAATATTTGACTACAGTTATTTGTTAGAGCCTCAATATTAATTCACATAAAACTGTAAGTTATTACAAAGCGTATACTACATTTTTTGAAATACAGCTTTCCTTAATTTACTTTAGCAATTCCATAGTCATAAAAGTAGTATGAAATAAAAATACTTAACAGCTTGGGACTTTTTCAACACATTTTTAAAGCTCTTAAAACCTTGTCAATAAAAAAAATCATAAATTATCAGTTCAGATAGAAGATAATGGGAATAATTGACAATGAGATCAAATACAGTATTAAATTGCTCTTTCCCACACCGTTTCCCCTTTAAAAAGATGCCAAAGTAGCCAAACAAAGACAACAAAACATGATCACAGTAAATATTAAAAGTCTTGCTTAATGTAACTGAAGCAAGGTAATTTAAGAAAGTACAGAAACTTCTCATAGCTGTGAATGTTAATGTGAACTAGCCACCAGAGTTAAGTGGGAATGAATAGGTAGCACTCCATAAGGCCCCTGGGTTTGCACTGTTTATATCAGGACCTCAAAACGCCAGAAACTATTTAAATGGCAAAGTATTACAAGCTCAGCAACCTGTTTTTGTTCCATGACTTCTTTCTTATCCGTTATTTCAACACTTTTCCCATAAATGGCCTGTTTAAAACCTACTGCACATATATGCTTATTTTTCTTGATTTGCTAAAGATGACCACCAGCAAAACCCTATGTTTTGCATAACTCCTACTACAGGTTAAGACTGAGATGTAGTTGGAAGATTTCAACAGCATCACAGTGACAAATTTTTTAAAGGGCTAATACTCTAAACTCAAACAATGGTAATCATATAGTATGTCTGATTAGACAATCTAAAGAAACATAAACAGGGCAGATAACAGATAAGTGAGTACACAGATAATCTGTTAACTCTTGCCCCACGTTCTCTAAAAACTAAACTCTTGGGAGAAGACAACTGGGAGAATCTAACAAAACAACACATAAGAAAGGCAGACAACAACCTACCACCACCTCCGCAAATGAGACTACAATTTAATTTAAATGATTCGATACTGCCCTGCCCATCTGCTCTGAGTCTGATCAGTCATAACTCTGCAAGAAAACATTTTAGCTAGTTCTTACATAAAAACTTCACACCATTAGAATATACCATACATCTAAACTAAGCCATAATTTTATATTTAAATATTTTTCAACTTATCCTTCAATTCCATGGAAGATTTTGAATTATTTGCAGCATTAAAAGTAATTAAGACCAATAAACCACTGTGATTGGAAGTTAGTTCTCCCCAGTCCTGAAATTAGTAGCATAGAATACTGATTGTCAGTAAAGACTTGTTTTCTATTTTTAGCTATAAGAATCACTAATTTGTTTGTTAACAATAGTTCTACTCCTTTGGGAAAATCTATTTCCAAGTTACTATTCATTTGTGGATTAAATTTCACTACTACTAAAAATAGCACTATTTCCTCAGCCTAATGTTCCAATTTTATAAAATTAGGACTTTTATCTATTAGGTATGTTTCTTTTACCAAGTGTTTTTCTGCATTGTAAAAGAATAACATTACCAGATTAGTTTTAAAGCCTGAAAGTATATATTACTACTTCTATTTATTTGATGCTAAGTTTGAAATTTATGTTTATTTGACTGCCACTGGAATACATATTTATACACGTAGATACATATGGCTCAACTTAAATGTAAAGTTTAAGTCTGTCACAGGCTCACTTAATAAGTGCCAAGTACTAGAACAAAATTCTTCTTGTACTTTCAGTGATAAACCGCAAAGATAGTACTGATGGACCTACCAAAGAATTCAGTAACACTTGCGTTCAAACTTATTCTCAATGCAATTTTTATTTGCACTCAAGAGAGCCAATGTTTACTATGTTTTGTGCACAATGACTTCCTTTAATTTGTAAATATTATGTCATTATGAAGCTATTTACAAGGTATTTAGGAAACAAAATGAGTTCCTTAAAACGATCTATATATTCCACTACCATACTAAATATTAAAAAACAAAAACAAAAGTGAAGTCCACCCAAATTTTGAAGAGCTGGGCTTTTGTTAGTTCCTTTCCCTCTATTACCTGACAACATAGCAGTAATAGATAGGACCTCATTAGAACAGTTGTAGTCACAACTTGCAATAACCATTTTAGCGAGCTGTGGATCTAGAGGAAACTCTGCCATCATGGATCCCAATTCAGTAAGATCTCCATCATCATTTAAAGCAGCCAGATAATTCAAAAGTTCTAGGGCTCTCATCAGAGTTTCAGGAGCTAGGGGGAAAAGGCAATCTATTAGACAAGTTGCCTTAAGCAAGCAAAAATGTGACAAAGTACTATCATAAGCAATCTCATTTTTCATTCTATAGTGGACCAAACTCAAATTGTCATCAAATTCAATTATACGGATCTAGCAAACAATGAATAATACAAAATTGCAAGATTTTCTTGTAGGTAAAACTGTCTTTTTTCTAAATATTTTAAATAATTGCTAATTCATCAATGTGTTTATCAAATTATTTTCCCCAAAGAAAAATCAGAAAGTTTATTCTCACATTTTCATGTCCAGAAGACAATTCAATTAAACTGAATACCTAGAATAAATTCTGAAGAAAAAAAACTTATTTGCTCATGTAATTGTCACCCTTTTTAGTTTTAATGCTATCATATAAGATCATTTATCTTGATGCATACTAGAAGAAAAAGGCAAAATGTATTTAATACATACACTGAACAGGATGCAGACATATAGTTAAGAGTCCATTTTGGTTAAAAGATCTGACAAAATGTGCTGTCTTAGGTCATACCTGGTGGATCCATAAAATCGAAATGCACCAAATCATCAATACCAAGTTTCTTCAACTGTAATACAACTGATCCTAAATTAGAACGCAAAATCTCAGGATAGGTGTTATCCTAGCAAAAAACAAAAACATTTGTTTGCTGTTAAACATTGCTTAATCACCGTGCTCCGGAAAACAAAACATACCTGTTCCCTGACTCCTTAGCTATTTACTTTGGCATTACTTCTATTACATTGTCTGAGGAGAGAAAAATACTTGTGGACTACAGAAATCAGATACTTCTCTCCAATAATCTTTATAATGTTCAAAGCATTTGCTGCTGTCCACCCCAACTCAGAACAGTTAAAAAGAAAAAGGTTGTGTAGTAGTCCCCCTTATCCAAGGTTTCAATTGCCCACCATCAATACCTGAGATTAAAAGTTTTAGAAAACAATTTGTAAGTTTTACATTGTACACCGTTCTGAGTAGCGTGATGAAATCTCACTTAGCCCCAACCGATCCAGCCCAGAATGAATATTAAACTGTCACGGTATCTCAGTGTTCGTGTTCAAGTAACCCTCAATTTTTTTTTAGTAACTGCCCTGAAGAGCAAAAGTAGCGATGCTGGCAATTCACATATGCCAAGGAGAAGCCTTAAAGTACTTCCTTTAAGTGAAAAGGTGAAAAGCTCTCCACTTAACAAAGGGCAGGCGGAGAATCACACACTAAGAATACTATGATCTACAGTAAGAATGTATCTTCAGTGAAACTGTGAAAAAGGAAAAAGAAATATGTGCATAGTATATGTAAAGTTCTGTACCATCTGAGGTTTCAGGCTGGGGGTCCTAGAATGTATCCCCCTGTGGATAAGGGGGGACTACTGTATTGGTAGGTTATACCATAAATCTCACTCAGAAAAAAACTAAGGAGCTTTTGGTCTTAAAAGGGAAGATAAAGTAAATCAAGCAATTTTCTTCTGGTAACAATTCAACCTAAACTTCCAAACACACAGGAAAAATACAGTAATACTCCTTACCTGCATTTCTGTTTTATAAGCTTTCTCTGTGTAAAGTCTGAAGCATTTCCCAGGTCTGGTACGTCCAGCTCGACCAGCCCTTTGTTGAGCTGAAGCTTTACTAATAGCTGTTACCAAAAGGGACTCAACCCTGATTCGAGGATTATATACCTATTGGAATGGAAATAACACAAGATTATTTCTTCAGTTAAACAAAAAACTGTGATCCACAGGTACCCAAAGCCCACAATAAATCCTAAAATAAACAAAATAGTATTGATGAGCACCATAAATCATGTTGCCACAATAATAGAGAATTCATCGCCCCATGCCTTAGCTTTCTCTCAGAGATTCTGACTCTGCCATTCTGAAAGACAAAGGCTAACATGAAAAACTTCTCATCCAACACACAGATGGCTTACATAATCTTGACTACTCCTAGTTTCAAATAATTTCTGTTCTATCAGTTTACCTTGTGCCTTGCTTTTTACATGCTGGTAGTGAAGGATTTTGCCTGAAAAGAAACCTGCAATTTCAACACCTGATGTTCAGAGTGGACATCAAGAAAAACACTTTGAACTTAATCCAAAAGAAGTCAGTCATGTACTTTCTGTTTAAAAGGAAAATTTTCCATCAATAGCATGATATACCTACAAGATACAGTCAATTCACCCAAAAGATGTTTGAAAAATAGAGTATTTACTGAGTAGCCATTTCATTTGTCAAAAATGTTTGGTGGTCAGCACTGCTAAAATAGAGGAGTATCATAGTACCTTTTTTCAAATAGTGTCTCCCCAGTACATAGCAGGAACTCTAATGGTGGATAAGTGACTGGTCTGCAGGGATGACAACCCTGTACTTTTATTACTTCACCTATAGTCCTTAAATGAACATACAAACCAAAACATCCCCCACAACACTAAAACAAAGAAACCAAAGCAACCCTAAATGGGAGGGGGGAAAAAGCCTCTAGGATTAAACATAAAATACTGCCTTAATTTCTGAACACAAAGGGCTCCTATGGCAGAAATCTGAAAATGAAAAATAGAAAAAATTTGTAAAATGTAAATTTTAGCCATTAAATAAATGGGTAGTAAGTACCATGCAGCTAACACTGATTTATAAAGTATTCAACTAACACACTAAAACATGTACCTTTTGTTTTGCAAATCCAGGATCAATCACAAACACCACACCATCTATCGTCAAAGATGTCTCTGCAATGTTAGTTGACACAACTACCTGTTAAGAAATACAGTATACAAGTTATGCTACACATTAAGTAAAACTAACATGACAGTAAGTTTAGTCAACTTTCACTAACGCAAGGAATTTCAAACCAGTAAATAAACTACCTCCCTTTCCAACAAAGCTATTACTTCAGGTTATCACTCAACCACATTACATGATGATTACGCAATAAAAGAATAGCATCAAAATAAAAATACTGGTAAAGCTACACAACATACCTTACAGAATGTCTCAATGATAAAACATTCCTTATAATTAATATCCAAACTTCCATACATGTATTTTTCAATTTTTTCAAGCAATATTAATGAAGGAGAACTTCATATTTCTATCACTGAAACGCAATTCACCATTTTTCAGAAATGCCCCAGGGAAAAAAACTCAAGGTACAACCCAGTAAGAATTGATAAATCATCACAATCAAATGTAAATGTGTTGGTAAGTGTACAGTCTCAAGGGATGATATGTAATATGTTACTGTACACAAGCAACTGTTAGGAATCATACACTGAACAAAGTTTAAAGCATTTAAATACTAATATGTATGACAACTTATTTTTATATGTGCATATTTAACTATATGTTAGATATGTTTTAGGAAATTGGTTAAGGACCTGGAAATGACATGTTACATATAATCTTTTCCTTTTAAAACAATGGGAAATGGGGATTCCTCATTTGCATTTTTACCCAGAACATCTGATTTTCAGGAACAGATTACTAACATTAAGTTGGAGATGTCTGTGTACGTGAGCAGTTGACACAGAAAATGAATCAGATAAACAGTCTGCGCTTATAGCTTTTATAGTTTGTAAGAGAAGATTAGGCATGGATAGAAAAAGTAAATAACTCAAAAAATTCACTGTGAGATTTAAAAAGGGTTTACTTCCACACTGAAGACAAGGCTTTATTAAGAAAACCGAGTTTAGAATAGTACTTGAAGGTAAAGCAAGATCTACTCACAAGAGAGAAGGAAAGAGCATTAGCATTAGAAAGTTCAACTTAAACAATGTATGTGGGCAAGAACGTCTACGAACACATATAAGAAAGGACTTATATGTATTCCTATTATTTTATTTTTTAAAAGCATTTTCTTTCATAAATAAAATGGCTTAAATAATTCATAGGCTTTTGTTCCATTAGCTGTTTCATTTAAAATAATACTAACATTTTCATTTTCTGACTTCATACCTACTAAGGAGACATCCCAAGATATTGGGGGGAAGCCTTGGAGGTTTAAAAACTTACTAGGAATCTATTAGTAGGGTATTTCAGAATCATTTACATGTCAAAACCAAAATATTTCATTTTTTTATTGGTCATGTGAAAAGGCAGAACTAGCAAAGGGATAAGAAACCACAGGTGGTTTGATGATGCTACTGAAATTCTACAGGACATTTAGATAACAAATACAATCAATAATTAGAACTGAAGCACACATAAATAGCATATATAAAGTTGACAGGTAGACTTGAATAAGTATAACCTGAGATTAATATTCTTCTAGGAAGTCAGTTTTTTGTAGTGGAAGGATCAATGAATTCAGGAGTAGGTGGAAGAACCAGGAGTCAAATCTGAGTAGCTAAGTAACTGAGGAAAGTTTTTAATATCTCCAAGTTTCAATTTGCTTTTATGACTCTTGCTTATTACTTAGTTTAGCTAACACAGAGCTACAGGGAATAAAATGGATACGGAAATGCCTTATAAACTATAGAGAACCAATTACATACTAATAATCATATAACAGGTCTTCTGGAATTCTGGGGTGAAAATCATGGTTCTGAGTATATGTGGGACAGTAGAGAAAATTACGTTCCTTTTTTTTTTGGGACAGAGTCTCACTCTGTTGCCCTGGCTAGAGTGAGTGTCGTGGCGTCAGCCTAGCTCACAGCAACCTCAAACTCCTGGGCTCAAGCAATCCTACTGCCTCAGCCTCCCGAGTAGCTGGGACTACAGGCATGCACCACCATGCCCGGTTAATTTTTTCTATATATTTTTAGCTGTCCAATTAATTTCTTTCTATTTTTGGTAGAGACAGGGTCTCGCTCTTGCTCAGGCTGGTCTCGAACTCCTGAGCTCAAACAATCCGCCCGCCTTGGCCTCCCAGAGTGCTAGGATTACAGGTGTGAGCCACCACGCCCGGCCTGTTCCTTTTTTTTAATAGTTATTTTGGGAAAAATAATTTATCATATTTCTTCTAGAATGAAATAAAGGCCGTGTGATAAAAATTTCTTGATGTGATCAACTCTTTAAAGAGTTATCTAAAAAGTCACTTTTTCTCCAAAAAATAACTTCATTTGTATACCCATGTTTTATCTGGGTGTGTGAGACAAATTCTATAATACTTATAAAGAAGTGGATGTGTGACTCTACAAGTGTTTAAAAAATCAAATGATTGTGCCAACTGGGCACGCCCGATGTCATTAGTGATAAGAGTATATTGCCAGCTAAAAGTCAACCCCCAAAATATAAGCATTAAATGAGTCCTCAGAGAAGCCTGAAGTTTTAGGGTTTTCCCACGGACTACAAACAGTTAAGGCGAAATAAACATACACACACACATAATGCAAACAAATAAACGAGATGATAAAAGTTGCTCTGGAACCCCAGCAGCTAAGCGAGGCAAGCCCTAAGCATGTATATGGCACACCATCCAAGAGACAAAATGATCCTGAATCTGTCAAGGGAAATACGTATGAGCAGTAGGAATCTATTTAACTGTTACAAGCTTTCTAGACTGTTTAACTTTGCAGTAAGTGTTTAAAGAGGCTTAAAAAGCGTTAAAACCTAAGTAACTATTTCAGGTAAATATTCCCAATTACAGAAAATAAACCGTATGGTGAAAAGTCTGGCATCACTGCCAAGATGTGCTAAGAGTAAACTTCCCCTCAATAACCTGCCTTCCAAAGGGACCTACTATGATTTATTCCAATAATTTCACTCCAAGGGGTAGAACTCAGAGTATCCGACTTGCCCTACTTGAACACTGTTTGGACACAATAATGCACTTAGATTAAACTAGTTTGGATTTTTAGTCCGGGGGGGGAGGGGTCTGCAATTCAAGGACATTAACTTATTTGCTTATAAACAATCCAGCAGCACCAAACTAGCTATCTTCAGACTGTGGATCATTAAGCCTCTCTTTAAAACTACACAACCATCTCCACAAGGGCCATTTCTTTTTTATTGAGCAAATATGCTCTGAACCATATTAATCAGCAAACTGTAGGATAAGATACAGAAAAAACAGCTATTTGTATGGACAAAATTAATGAAAACTAATTATTTTAAATGAAATTAATCACTGCTGGATTTTAGTAATACCAAATCTATAAAACAGCAATTATAAATCTTAGTCAAAAGATGCATGGGAGAGTTTTACTGAAGAGTAAACTTTAATGCATATGAAGAACTACTACAGCTTTTAGCTTAATCAAATACTTAAAAAAGCTTCAGAAATTATTAAAGCAAATGAACATTCTACGCTCATATAAATACATGTGTTGCGTTATGAACCTTTCTTGCTTGTTAAAAACTTGAAATGGTTCACCGTTAGTGCTATTATTTGTACACATAAAAAGAACATAGTAACTATTTGTAAAATGAATGCTACTTAAGTACACAAATGCTCAGAAACCATAATCTTATATACAATCTACATTGTAAAACTTTCACACTAAAAGTTGTGTTCATTTTACCACAATCAAGTTGAAAAATCTATTTTGCATAAATTAATGGAATGAGGAGTGAGACAACAAATACAACACTACCTTACAAAAGGTACTGAAATATAAAGTTACACAGAATTACAATTTGATGGAATTTAAAATATTATATTAAATATTCTATTTGTTCAGTAACTTCAAATATTTTTATGTATCTGCTCTATGCTGTTATACTAGTACAAAGTACATAACTTAACAAAAATTAAATCAAATCATATTTTGTTTTTCACAATCAGAAGCAGAGAGTAAATCTCTAACTGTTCTTATTTAAATTTAATTAATTGTATCATTATTGTGTGTGATAGAACTTTTGAATGAAAGCTCTACTCTTAGTACCTAGTGTGGTGTTTAATTAGTGGACCTCAGGTCCTTTATTTTGTAAAGGTAAATAGGATATTATAAAAGGTGAAGCATTTATGTGCTGTTATGAGTAAAAAAACAGAAACAAAAAAGCATTAAAAAAAAAGAGAGAGAGAAAAGAAAACAGCAATTGAATAGCAGTGCTTCCTGTTCTAGTGCCTACCCATTTTCCCTCACATAGCCTTAATTCTCACGCCATCTCCTTCCCCACAATGCCACCAGTCCCTTCTTGCTCTAACTGGGCCTGCCAGTGATTGGCCAGAATATGTTTCAGCTATCTCTAGGTGTCAGCTGACACCTCCATCTCAGACCAGACAGCTGCCCTGCCCATCGATAAATATATATGACTTGCTATGCAGGTCCTCCTCTATCAGCTACTCTTGAACGAAAAATTTTAATTTGTGCTTAAACATGCTAGGCCTCACAGTGTTATTCCTTGTAATGAGAATGATGACCCAACTGCCAAGGAAGTCTTCCCTCGCTCCCCTGGGATCATCCATCCAGGGAGGCTCTTCTCAACCTTTAAGATGATGTTGATACATGGCAAGAGATAACAAGATTTTCCAGCAAGAGGTCCACTAACTCTAACTGAATGAAACACCATCAATGAATGGAAAAGCATCATTGTGGTCCTTAGTTTTGAATTAAAAAAACACAGGATCGCTTCCCAGAGTGAGACTACATTAGCTGTGGCCATCACCGCATACCCAGCTACTGCTGAGTCACTCTTTCAGTAAGACAAAATTTTCCTCTGCATCCTTAGGATTTACAACACAAAAAGCAAACGACCACTATGACAACAAAAAACCTAATTCTACTCCACAGGCTTAAGTTATAGATAATACAAAACGTATCAAGTGTTGAAATAGCACCAGACTGAACCTACATACCCAATACATTAATAATAAAGAGAGCAAAGAGCTCAGATGTGTAACTATAGTAAGCATGGGCCCACACCTCTCAATGTAACTCAGTGCAATGAGAAGTACCCCAAAGATGGACAAACACAGAGTATTTGCTGTATGCCAATTTCACTCAATGGTATACAAGCCAACATTTGAAAAAATAAAACAAATGCAGAAATACAAAGTTCACATGATTTCAGGACACTGAAAATTCAGCCCTTTAAAGAGGATGCATTAACTCCTCTTTATTACAGAAATGTTTAAGAAATATATACATCTGTTGATGTGGAATCAAGCTTAAAAGTCCACAGAGAAAAAGTACTTTCAAAGTCAACTTTAAAATTATATACTAAAAGTATCACTTAAAACATCACATTTTCTCCCCCAAAGTCCACAATACACATTAAGTAACACATGAAAAATGTTTTAGCATGATCTAGAGATAGCACTACAACAAAAAAATAATTGCAAGTTCAACATAATGAAGCTATGATTATACTATTTTTTAAAGTCAAATTTACTACATTTGATGATCTATGAAAAACTCAGAAGTTGATGTTTTTCCCTATTGATCTCCTATTAACTTATATTCCAACAGGCTGGTATGCATGTCCATTCAGGAAATTCTCTCACTTTGAAAAACATATTTGGTTCATTTAAGTTTTATACAGCCATGTAAAAAAATAATTGGCCATGATATAGTTAAATGTTTCTTTGTGATTTGTAATTTTTCAGTAATCATCAAAAGTATCAGCAAAAAGATTGGGAAAAAATAGCAAAAGAAGTTGTGAGTCCTGAATAGAGATATAAGAAAGCAACAGATTTTGATTTTGACTAACAAGTAAATTATGAGTGAGTAAAACTTTAGGTAAGATAAGACTTTCTTCTATACCAAAAAACTGAAAAAATTTACAGTAGCTACCATGAGACAGCATGTTAGTTAATCTCATATACATTAAGCTTAATCCTTAATAATCATCTACCAACCAAAGTGAAAAAAGTAATAAATTATATCCAGTTTAAAAAATAAAAAACATTGGGATCAGAGATTAAGAATCTTACCAAAAATTAACATGCTTCTATTATCTAACCTAACAAATGGCTAGGCTTAAAAGTCAAACTGACTCCATTGTTCCAGGGGTTTTCAAATCTTTTAATAAAACAGTGCAATCTTATTTTCAAACAATCTGTTAGAACTCCCAATCTTAAAAAATAAAGGCCTAGCTTCTAGCTTCTTTATTTCAAACTGGTACTCATCTCTCCTCCCATTCCTCCAACAAAGTGCCTCAGAGATAGGGCCGGAATAACCTTGTTCCCTTACCTATAACTGGGCACACATCTGTACCAAAAGGTTCCAGACAAAGTTCCTGCCTTCAAGGAATCCATATACTTATGCAGTGTGATTAGTGCTACTGTTATTAAAGGTCTGCAGAGTCAACATTCCACACCTACAGACATGACATTTGGTTAAGTCTTAAAGAAAATTCTAGGCAGAAGGCCAAAGGCATTGAAGGAAGAAGTGCTTGCTTTTTGCCAAATGATTTAATGGGAGAAAGACAGCACTTGGCCAATGTCCCCCTTTTCTAAACCCAGCCTAACTGACCTTACATTTGCTGAGGAGGACTCCCAAGGAGGGGAAAGCAGTACATATTCTTACTCTAGGGTCAAAGATATGCAGAACCCCACCTCAACACATCTTTTATCACTTTTCAAATGCAGATTATTTTGTTATATACAATCCAGATCACAATCACGGCAAACATAGTACTTTATAATCGAATATAATTTGATATTTCAAAAAAACAATTCTTTCGATATTAATGACAACATGTTTATAAAAAAATTCTTCTAATGTTACCTTTCTTCCAATTGCTCCATTCTGTTTTTTTGGAGGCGGAGGCTCAAAAATGCGCTGTTGCTGCTGAGGTGGAAGTGTAGAGTACAACGGAATGATTTTAATGTCACCAACTTCAGGGCCCAAATCATCAACTTCACGCTTTATTCTCTTGCAGGCTTCGTCAATTTCCTACAAAATAAAAGTTTGAGTCTAAAAACAAAAGAAACACTGAAACATTTTAGTTTTTATCATAATCTTAGTTCTATGCAGCTTATTTTTTTGTATACAATCTGCTTTTATTTCATGGATACCCTATTTTCAATTTAGTAATCAAAACAAATTTAGCCATTTTCAACCGGATTTCCACAACAATCCAAGAAAGTTTGATTTTTGTATTCGAATGAATATGTAACTGCCTTATTTGCGTTCCACACTCCCTTCCCCCTTTTCTTATAGTCAGATTTCCTAATTAATTCTCAACAAATTATACTAAAATTGAAATTTCTCACCCAGGAATATTTAACTGCACTCATGACCTTTTCAATTTTCACAATCTAAAAGAAATTGATGTGCCAGACATTTTAAATAAGCCAATTAGGCTTTAATGTCACGTATCACTAATGCAATTATATGGAAGATTTGCTTCATTGTGCCTAATGAGAACAAACACCTTTACAGTATCAACATAGATATTTAAGAACTAGGCTAAACCAAATATCTTAAGAGCAGCTTCAAAAATTTTCCTACCATAGAAAAGTAGTCACATGCTGCCTAACAACAGAGATATGTTGTTAGGCAATTTTGTTACTGTGCAAACATCAGTATACTTACACGAACCTAGATGGTATAGCCCATTACACACTTAGGCTATGGTATAGCCTATTGCCCCTAGGCTACAAACCTGTACAGCAAGTTCCTTTACTGAATACTGCAGGCAACTGTAATATAGTATTTGTGTATCTAAACATACAGTAAAAATATGAAATAAAAGTTAAAAATCTGTACATCTATACAGGGCACTTGCCATGCATGGAGCCTACAGGACTGGAAATTGCTCTGGGTGAGTCAGTGAGTGAATATGAACACCTAGGACACTCTGCACTCTACTGTAGACTTCAAGAACACTGTACACTTAGGCTACACCAAATTAACAAAAAATGTATTTTTCTTTCTTCGATGATAATTATCCTTAGCTTACTGTAACTTTTTTACTTTATAAATTAAATTTTTTTAACTGTTTGGTTTTTTTTTTTTTTCTGGAGACAGAGTCTCACTCTGTTGCCCTGGCTAGAGTGCCGTGGCGTCACCCTAGCTCACAGCAACCTCAAACTCCTGGGCTCAAGAGATCCTTCTGCCTCAGCCTCCCGAGTAGCTGGGACTACTACAGGCATGCACCACCAAGCCCGGCTAATTTTTTCTATATATTTTTAGTTGTCCAATTAATTTCTTTCTATTTTTAGTAGAGACGGAGTCTCGCTCTTGCCCAGGCTGGTTTCGAACTTCTAAGCTCAAACAATCTGCCCGCCTCGGCCTCCCAGAGAACTAGGATTACAGGTGTGAGCCACCGCGCCCGGCCTGTTTGGCTCTTTTGTAATAACACTTAGCTTAAAACACAAACACATAAAACTGTACAAAAATATTTTCTTTCTTTATATACTTATTCCATAAGCGTCTTCCTATTTTTAAAACTTTTTTTACTTCTTATTCTTTCTTGTTAAAAGCTAAGACACACACACACGCACACCAGCCTAGGCCTACACAGGGTCAGATCATCAAAATCACTGTCTACCACCTCCATATCTTGTCCCACTAGAAGGTCTCCATGGAGTTGTCATCTCCCATGATAACAAAGCCTTCTTCTGGAATACCTGCCTGAAGCTGTTTCACAATTAACTTTTTTTTAAAAAGTGAGAAGATACTCTAAAATAACAAAAGAGAGTATAGTAAATATATGAAGTAATATTATCATTTATTATCATTATCAAGCATTATGTATTATACATAATTATATGTGCTATACAGTACTTCTCACAACTGGCAGCAAAGTACGTTTGTTCACACCAGCATCACTACAAATGGTGAGTAATGTGTTGCCCTGTGATGTTACAAGGGTACATTTATTTATTTATTTATTTTTTTGAGACAGAGTCTCGCTTTTGTTGCCTGGGCTAGAGCGAGTGCCATGGCGTCAGCCTAGCTCACAGCAACCTCAAACTCCTGGGCTCAAGCAATCCTTCTGCCTCAGCCTCCCAAGTAGCTGGGAC